AAAGTGGCCAGACAACGGTTGGTACAACATCGTATAAGTACATATATAAAATAAAAAAAATGTGAAAAGAAAAATAAAGAATACAAATATTAATTTGCAATCCGGGTGTTTTTGGGACTGCCTCGATCCTATACTGTATCGGGAATGTTTGCGGAAATGCATATGGATTATTCTGCGTCCCTGCTCTGCACAGTGTGGGCTAGCCCCAACTGCGTCTAGGCCATATTGGCAAGTAAGCTGGAGCTTCTACAAGAACCATTGTGTTACGTTGCATGTGGAATGAACCCAACTATAACTATAATAACTTATAATAAAAGTATCTGTCCTGGTGACCTTAATGTATACGGAATAGGGAATAAGGAATTCCTTAATTCTTAATAAGGAATTTTTTTTTTCATCTCAAAATTCATATCTCCTCTTAAGGAGAAGAGATGGAAAACTGATCGTTAGTAGAAGCAGTCGGCCGAGATTCAGGGTCCCAGGGTGAGAAACCGGCGTATTATGCGGGTAGTATCTAAAAGCAGCGCTTTCTGCATCTTTCCCGGGAGTGAGCCGCCTCGGAATCCCAACTGTCTGAAGAATTGTTTCAGCCTGGTTGAGATAAGATCGTTCACCGACAGAATGATTGGGATGATTTCGGTAACCCCCCACATTTCGGTCACCGCGAGAGCTAAGTGGAGATATTTACACTTCTCCTTGGTTTCGGCTGTCAAGAGGTTTTCATAATGCGGTATGATCACATCCATCAAAAACACCTTTAAGTGTCGAAAAACTTTCGATCCATCACCACGATTATTGTTATTTTTTTAATTTTATGATTCAGCATTAGTTGGTATATACAGCACATTGTTAGCATATAGTACTCCAAAGGGGGGGGAGGGGAAGAATTGGTAGTAATGAGGACTACCAGTCCCAATGCTAGCAATATACCTTGAATACCTGAAGTCGCCCTGACTTCCACGGTATTCACGGCATTAGGATGTCGCTTCTAAATAAAAAAAAAGTATTTGTGGATTCAAATTTCTTCGAAGACAATTACATAACATTCGTGCTATTTCGGAGCAATGTTAATAAAAAAATACACCGTTATGCAACGTTCCCATAAGTACGAGATCCACTAAGAGCTAAGCTAAGCGAAACTAACTGTGGCTAAGCGCATGTAGCTGCAGTGCCTTTTTATATTCACCCAGTGAAATATATAGCTAAGTGAAGCTTGAAGCGAGAACTAGGAAATTCGACGATACTAATTAATTTGAGTGTTGCTATTGTCAATAATGGGGACTTTACTCCCCATAATTGCAATATCGTTGTATTTAATTCCTAGTGCATTAGGTTGAGTTCACTGACCAGAGTTTATTCTTACCTACTTTATCCCTTGCTTCCCCTGTAAATGATGATAGGTTAAGTAACCTATCAGTGTAACCACATAGTGTAAAAAAGGTTATCATTCCATTATATTACAAATAATCAAAAAAAAAATCGAATTAAGAACCTCCTTCTTTTTGAAGTCGGTTGAAAATGTGAAAGTTTGAAATATTAGTATTTTTACTACCCAATGACGCTTAAATCGTCATAGTCGTAGAATACTGACGGATCTTTATATGTAATATTTGACAGATCCGTCAGTATTCTACGACTATGACGAAATGGTTGAATATTCTTAGATTATATATGTAGTGCCTCAAAAATGGGTCAAGTTTTTGTTAGCTAACTGTCAAGTTAGCTGGCAAAAAGAACTATTCGTCAAATTCGTTTTTTTTTTATCAGTGTTCTACACATATACATACATACATATCTGTCACGCCTGTCTCCCATTAGGGTAGGCAGAAACAATTAAACAACAAATGCTTCGATTCAAACAAACTATATACTTACGCATATAATGTATTTTGATGTATTATTTAATAAACAAAACGAGAATTTACGCATTAAAAAGATGCAGAAATTATAAGACGAAATAAATATAGAAGTTATAAAGGAATCACTCATAACTATTTATCACGCAAAATTGTATAAAAAAGTTGACCCGCTTTTCTCGAAGCATTTGTATGGAGACACTATCTGTATAATCTAAGGGTTGAACTTATTTGAACGAAATTTAGTATAGGAGTAGATATTATTTGTATCCTTACTTAAGCATTATATCCAGACAGTCAACTCTGCATGAAACATCTAGTATTCCATAAAATAGCTAACCGAATTCATTCGCTTAGCTTAGCTCCCACTGTGACTACTGCATAAAGAACTTTCTTACGAGGAAATCTGTCTTTTGTTATTAAGTATTATTATGTTCTTTCTTTGTAGATGGACAGACATTGTTGTCGTAATAATACTGTGACACCTGTTCACGAAAGTAACCGATATAAATGGAACTAATAGATGGTACTGTCGTCCCATTATTTTGTTTCTGAGTTAGGAATATTTTTGTTTTTTTTTTTTTTTTTGCTCCCCGATGAATCTTGTCTCAATCGGAATGTGATGATAAATGGTAGGGAAAAGTCAATAAAGTAAAAACATTGATGTATAAAAAACTCTAGATACACAGGTAGAGACTAAAAAAATTGTATTGAAAATTGAGCGCATTTCACTTTGTTTTTTTACCAGCCAATAACGTGTCCAAACAAACGTGTCAAAATATTCATAGAAATTTGGTGAAATTATTTAAATGAGATTATTAAATTAGACTACCGACCAAACCGTCTTTCAAAAAAACGTTCACGCTCACTTTTTTACTTTATTCGAGCAGTAAGTGCTTTATATTATTCTCAATTGCGTAAATTTACAGGGTACAGAGGAATAACACCTGAGTCCTCAGGAATGGCAACGCATGGAGGGTATCATGGGCGAAACAATATACTCTGTTATGTCCACGGTACTGCTCATGTCTATAGGCGACGGTTACCAGTTTCCATCAAGTGGGCCGTCGGCTTGTTTGCCATTCTAAGTTGCATAAAAAAAATTCGTGTATAATATAGTATATTTTATATATGTGTAAGTATATTTGTTATTTATATATATTTATTCGTGTATATATGTAATTTTAGTATGTATGTATATCAATAATTAGTAGTACCGCATTCGAGTATTCTGACACTTCCCTATGGTTGACTGGGAGAGAATGCTTCTAGCATTAAGTCCGCCATGTGTACGAGTACATACATATATGTACTAATGAATAAATAAATAAAATTATAAAGCATACGTGGTACGCGATGGTAATAGATACGTGATTTCTTATTTATGTTAAGTATTTATTTATTTATTTATTCAAGGTATTTATAATATAAAGTACAGCCAAATAATGTTAACACATTTGTCTTAGTATTGTCACTAATGCCGTGTGATCCCAGCATAAAATGCATTCGTAGGTATTGTAAAAGGCAACTAAAGAACGTTAATGAATTTAACTGTCCACTGGCTTTCCCTATAAGGGAAAATTTGCCAGTACCAGTATTCGTCTACCATGCGAGGCAACGCATGGTAGACGGATTGACAAACGCAGTTAGGCTTTGGTGACATATTAAGAGGGACATTGCTGTCCATTTCTAGACCATTAAGTTCCTCTTATGACACCCACGGGAAAAGAAAAGTTGGCCTATTCTATGCCGGGTCTACGCGACCAATGATTATAATTTTTTACTGTAAATTTTATATAAAATTGTGAATCTTGGTGTTTTATTATTTATTTTATATCAATGCAAAACCGTATTTCCGGGGTGTTTACAACTTTTTCAATATCTACTCAGAGGGCAGTATGGAATAATAAAAAAAATCTAATTTCTCAACTTTCCGATCGCACCCGCGAGGCATGAACTTTTGGAATTAAAAAGTGAACCTAAACATCAATGAAATAGGTATATTTTAAATTAAATTTTTACAAATTAGTATTTATGGGGCCATCACGGATGCATCTGTACCGATTAGATTTTTAATTAAAAAAAAAATAGTAACTCTTTTTTTTTTGTATGCAACTTAGAATGGCAAACAAGCTGACGGGCCATCTGGTGGAAAGTGGTAACCGTCGCCTATAAACATGAGCAGTACCATGGACATAACAGAGTATACTGTTTCGCCCATGATACCCCCAATGCGTTGCCATTTCTCAGGACTCAGGTGTTATTCCTCTGTACCCTGTAAATTCTCTACCATATCCCACCTAAACCCAAACATAGTTATGCAAACACAACTGCTTCACGGTAAAAACATGAATGGGACATGAGTATCCAAGCAAACGACTTTTGTACAAAATCTCCCTCTAGTAAATCTAAGTAGTCTCCATAGAAATGCTCCGAGAAAAGCGGCTCAACTTTTTCATACAACTTTGCGTGATAAATAGTTATGAGTGATTTCTTTATAACTTCTATAGACAGATAGATATTCTTTATTGTTTCCCCGTTTTAGCGATAAGGCCGCCTTACCATAAATAAGGCACATTCTGTATAAATACTCCTTGTATACATCTCTATTGTGCGACAATTATATATAATAGGGGGAGAAGGGATTGTTAGTAATGCGGATTATCAGTTCCATTGCTTATAATATACCCTAACAGGTCGACCTCTCCGTGGTCTCCCCTGGAAACCATCGTGCTGAATTACAAGTGTATTCATCACGATGGGCTAACTGACCTGCCTTTTCATCCTCACCTATCATCTATCACTGGTGCCCCGCCAGCGTATACCGTTAGCGCAGGAGGGTTTTTTTTTTTTGATGGGTGAAAATGGTATGGTAACCCCGCCTGCGCTAACGGGATACGCTGGCGGAGCACCAATGAAGGGTGATAGATGAGAATGAAAACAGGCCAGTTAGCCCATCATGATGAATTCATCAGGAATAAACCATGATAGTTTCCAGGGAGAACCGCGAGGAGGTCGACCTGGTTGGGTATATTGCTAGCAATGGGATTCTCAGTCTCCATTACTAACAATCCCTTTCCCCCCTGCGCAGGAGGGGTTACCATGCCATTATAATTTCACACACACACATATATATATGTATATATACATAGTCTTCTCTGGTATATTATATATTGGTAGATTAAATTAAACAACTCTATTTTATGAAAAAAACATTTACTATCATATATTATTTTAACCTCATTTAAGCTTAGGATATACATAAAATCACATTTTCCAATACCTACCTACAACAGTTTATTACAAACTCCGACTCAGTTCATTTCACGTCTCATTACATTTAAATATATATACTGTAACTAGTTTACAACTATATATATATATATCTCGAAATAAAAACAAGTTCCATCTCTTTGAAATGAACTTGTAAAAAAAAAAAAAATAAGTTATACATCGCTTATAAAATTGATATTACATATTATATCGATCTATTTACTATCTAAAGCCTTATTTATTTATATTGTTACACAAAATTTCTAATCTACTTTTGATAGTTCGATGTTTCGTCTAATTATTATCATCCTAACCTTTTTTAATTTACAAAGAAAAAAAAAAATAAATTACCTACTTATTTAAGTAAAAAAAAAAAAAAATTTTCAAACATATTTACAATCGAAAATTTATCACGCAATTCTATATCTGGGCTCATTATATAGAAATATGTGAGATATTTTCGTCAAACATTTAGTACATAATACTATTTATTTACAGCTACATACAAAAACGTATTATCCGTTATAAAATTATTCGCTAACAACAAGCGGTCTATACTACATTAACAGTTTATTTACATCACAGATTAAAAAAAAAAATTAAGACAAAGGAACTAAGAACAGTATGCTTTAGTTATTGGTCTAGAGCAGCCGCTAGCGCTTTACCTAAGCGATTTATACAATAGTTGCTTGGTCAGCGGAAGGCAAACGCGTGCGACTGCGAACTGATTCTCAGACGATGTCGTGGCACGAGTTCCCGTTGCCAGTCCGTGTGGTCTTCGTCGGCTGTGGACGTCCAGACATCGCGTCTGTATACGGCGGTGGGCAGTACATCACCTGAGAAAGAAAAAAAATTTAATATAATTTAAAAAAAAAGCGGGAAAATTGATGTAAGGCACGCGTCACTTCGAACATAAAATAATTGTACGAAATCTATGTAACCAGTTTATTATATTTGTAAATGTACATTACTATGGAGCTAGGGTTTAACTTAAAAATTGAAGGTCTAACCTAAAAATCAAGGGGAAGGGATTATTAGTAATGCAGATTACAGTCAAACAGTCCCATTGCTAGCATTACAGGATGTATTGCTAGCAATAGAACTGAATGGGAATAGGTCAGGTTGTCTTCTACGTGGTCCCTCCTGGATCAAATGCGCTGAATCCTAGATGTATTCATCATAATGGGCTAATTGACCTGTCTTTTCATTCTCATCTATCACTGGGCACCAGTGTATACCGTTAGCGTAAGCGAGGTTACCATTCCATTATTATCTATTAAAAAAAAATACTTAAAAACTGACGTATGTTTTATCTTGATATAATTAGTTTTGATACTTCTAAAATTTACGCATACGAAGTAGCGGGCAAAACTAGTTTTAAATAAAATCACATCAGTGAAATTAGAATAGAATAGCCCGTCTAGCAGTTCCTTTAAGAAAAGATTAAAATCATTCTATCTTTTCAAGTTTGTTTAAATATAATTGATTAGTAGACTGTCATCATTGTGTTCTCTTTAATTTGATATTTATATGTTGTATTTAACAATGATGACAATGATTTGTATCTTTAAGAGATAAGTTCGCCTTTGCTAACATTGTTATTAACTCATTGTTGTTACTGTATGTTTTATTGCAATAAAGAATAATATATATATATATATATATATATATATATATATATATATATATATATATATATATATATATATATATATTATTATTATTAGTGATCCATGGAAATATCAGTTATACTCGTATTTGAACATTTATTCTTATCATCATATAAGTAAAGAAGAATATAATAATGAGGTAATATTTGTTTTATCATAACACTAGCTGTATCCCGCAGCTATGTTTGCGCAAATTTAAAATAAATAGTACTCAATACGATGGTTCATTTTTATGTAACTTAGAATAACAAACAGCCCATCTGATGGGAAGTGATAACCGGCACCTATAGACATGAACAGCACCATGGATATTACAGAATATACTGTGACACCCGTGATAACCTCACGCATTACTATTCCTAAGGACTAAAGTGAGTAAATTTACTGCTATGATATAAATGTAATATCTCTACTCTTTCAACCGAAATACTGCATGCTAACACAACTGTTTTGAGGATTGCCAGTAATGGGGATTAATGGCCGAATCGACCTCCACGTGGTCCTCATAAATCGTCATGATCGATTCCTGGTCAATTAATCACAACAAAACCCACTGACCTGACTTCATCCTCATCTATCATCCCTCACTGGTACTCTGCCAGTGTATACCGGTAGCGCAGGCGGGATTATCATTCCATTTACATCGCATTAAAAAGCGCATCTTCTTGGCGACAAAAACATGAGGCAGTACCTCGGTCTCGTAATAATTTTGAACTATACGCCGTAGTTGATTTTAAACTTTGGCGTTGTTTACACATATTTTAAATACACAATTTGAACTTAAACGCAATGTAAAAGCCTTTGCAGGTATATAGTATCAATATACCTGCTTCTTTATTGCCGAAGTTTCACGACTGAAGTGAGTGGCGACTTCGCCCGGCAGCCCGCGCTATCTCTTCGGGTACTCTCACACTTGACTTTTACATCGCGTTAAGTCCCCATCGTGTATTTAAAATAAAAAGATAGTCATGCAGACGACCTTTATAAAAGTTTCCCCTTTAGTTATTTTCCGAAATTAAATACGTCAGGCTTAGCACAAATTATAATTACATTGCCTCTGGTAAGTGAACGAAACTCTAAAAATGCCAATTCATTTGGAATTTAAAGGTAAATCAGCATTAGTGTTGCCATATGTGTTTTTTTATTTCTCCCCAAATTTCAAATATTATTTCTCTAAAATGTATTTTCAACACTTTAAATCACTACCAAGACCGTTTTAACAATATTTTAATGACGCGTTGCTCCCTGCACTGATATTAACATTATCTTACTATTTTTGTCTGTCTATACATAGTATAGGTAGTCTATGCCTACCTTTTTTTCCCGTGGATGTCGTAAGAGGCAACTAAGAGATTTTATGGTCAAATTTTATGAGGAATAGGCAGTAGCGTTTCTCTTAAAACATCACCAAAGGCCGAACTGCGATTGTCAACCCACCTACCAAGCGTGGCAACTACTAGCAGAACCCTTCAATTATGGGAGAGGCCTGTGTTTAGCAGTGGACAACTATTGTTTGCATGGTATGGTATACACAGTTTAGCTGGGGAACGCGAGTTGAAGTATAGACTACAGAGATATTTTTTTTTATACAACTTAGAATGGCAAACAAGCTGACGGCCCACCTGATGGAAAGTGGTAACCGTCGCCTATAGACATGACCAGTATCATGGACATAACAGAGTATACTGTTTCGCCCATGATTCCCTCCATGTGTTGCCATTTCTGAGGACTCAGGTGTTATTCCTCTATACCCAGTAAATTCACGCCATATGCTACCCTTCAAACCGAAACACAGCCATGCAAACACAACTGCAGACATGTTTTTGTCCGCAGAATCCGAAATTATAGGTCATTAAGAGAGGTGAGAAATTGTAAGAAGTCTTATATCTCTAGCTACAAAAGAGGCTATATTTTTATTTAGTTAACCAAATTACATGTGCTCTCAAATAAGTTATTATAGATAGATAGATACTCTTTATTGTTTCCTCCAAAAGATTACAATAGTAAACTTATTATAAATATAAACAATTACAAGAAATAATCACAATGAGAAAACAATGGGCGACCTTATTGCTAAGAGCGATCTCTTGCAGGCAACCTTTGGATGGAGAGGAGTAATTATAAACAATTTGGTGGGAGGCACGATGAAAAATTCTGTTAGTTCTCCACACCATGTTTATTTCTCTCTAAAAATATCTTTAACTTTCCCATTTCGACAAAACAACATTGTTAATGAAAATTGAGAAAAAAATAAAACGAAATCTGGCAACACTGAGGCACACAAAATCATAGAGGAATAGAGGTCGAAATGAATTAGCTGGCATTACAAATTGTTTACAAGCAAATTTTTCCACCCACCGCCTCGATTTCAATTATTTGATAAAACGAGCAAATATCATTTCATTGGATATTTCCGTTTGCGATTTGTCGGAATTGGAATGTAATTTTTTGTGTAAATGCTTGTAATTGAATCTTCACTTGTAAAACTTGATTGCTACGCTCAGAATTTGTCCATTGGTAAAATGTGACCTTTTCAAGCGACTTCAAAAGGCGAAGCTATTAAATTCACTTGTATTTTTTGTGTATACATTCATGTTTCTACCGTGAGCAGCTGTAATTGCATGGTTGTGTTTTGGTTTGAATGGTGATTTATTTGAAAATTGAAAACAAAATGTAATTTGTGTACTAAATTATAATATAGCATTGGTTATCAGCAATCAGCAATCCTTCTATGTAATTCCTTGTTCTTAGCTGCCTACCCATTTTCTAGTATTTATCTCTCTGCAATATGAGACAGATTTGAAACTTTTTTATTGAACATTTTCGTCGACACGTTATAATAATAATAATAATAATAATAATAATTTTTATTTCAGACTTTTTGGTCCATTAAATATTTATTAGTAACAATATTCTTAAAAACTAATGTTAGTAAATTTACATACACAATACACATACACACACATACACACATACAATATATTAAGTAGTATACAGATAATCACCGCTGCACAATTCCATTGGAAATTGCGCAGCAGTGATTAACGTACACACAGTCCAGCCTGCTTGCTATCATACTCAGGATGCTGTTGGTGCTGGCACGTACTCTGCGCACCAGAGACGCACACCTTTTTCGCATCGTGGCATAAAAACAATCTACACGATGCTCAGCGAACATCCCTGACGCGCTGCAGAATCGTGGCAGCCCCATCAACACCCTGAACGCGTTATTATATTGGATACGGAGGTCGCTGTAGGATTTTTGAGTATATACAGCCCACAGGTTGCATGCATAGAAAGATGTGCAATGTGATCTAAATAACGTAATTTTAACTTGTCTAGAGCACCGCGCAAACCTGCGTGCTATCATATTCGCCCTCACCGCCAGCGCCCTCCGCTCCCGTTCAATGTCATCATCATCTTTGAGATCCGAGGCCAATTGATGTCCTAAATATTTAAATTTATATACCCTCTTCAGCGCTATACCCTTAAGTTTAATATCTGGAAAGCCCATTGAGTTTTTGCCTCTGCTCTCAAAGACCATGACCACACTTTTCACAGCATTGTATATCAGTCCGTGGCATGCAGCATATGACTCGCAAATAGCCACGAGTTTTTAAGCCCACATATCGACGCGCTGAGCAGCACCATGTCATCAGCATAACTTATATTATTAACATTAATGCCGTCTATGTGACAGCCGACACGGGTACCACTCAAAGCAACAATCAGATCATTAATATACAGATTAAATAGTACCGGCGAAGACAACCCTCCTTGCCTCACACCACACTCCAATCTGTATGACTGCGACATAGTCCCCGCCCATCGCACGCTGTTGAGCTGATTTCCATACCAATATTTGCAGATATTTATGAGCTCTGATGGTAATTGAAAATTTTCGAGCTTTTTCCACAAGATGTCATAAGAAACCAGATCAAAAGCTCTCGACAGGTCGAGGAAGCATGCATGGACTGGCGTTTTTCGATTTGTATAGTATCTAATAGCATGCTTAACACAAAGAACAGCGCTTTCAGTTGACAGTCCAGTTTGAAAGCCAAACTGGTTGTCATGAAGTTTTATATGCTGAGTCAGTCGAGAGTTAAGCATGCTATCAAACACCTTTGAGACAACAGTAGCTAAGGAGATTGGCCTATAATTATTTTTGTCTGTTATATCAGAAATTTTATTCTTAACTACAGGTATCACCACTGTTCTAATCATCTCCTCCGGCATGTACGAGTGACTTATACAAAAGTTAAAGAGCATTGCCAACAGTCTCGCCAAGTGTGGCCCAGCATGTTTTAGATGTTCAATACTGAGACTGTCGTGTCCTGGAGATTTACCTCCACTCATAGATTTTATAATTCGATCTACTTCACTAGCAGTACATCTAATTTCCACCACACGTCCAGTCTCAACATTCAACTCCGCACGCGATGGCCCCAAAGGGGATTTAACAGTAAAATGATCCTTAAAAAGATCAGCTATGTTCTCGGCATTACTTACGCCTTCAATAGACACAGGAAGGGCAGACTTTGTACTAAGCTTCCTCGTAGCCTTCCAAAAAGACCGAAAGTCATTATTAGAATGATGTGAAGCTAGAATATCCATCTTTATTTGTTCTTCGTGGTCTTGACACCACTTTAGACGTTTCTTAAAGTATCTTCTAGCCTCACACATATCATTATAGATGGAGCCAACTCTAGGTTTACCATAATCACACCAAACATGAAATTTCTGCCTGGCATTCCTGTGTGCCTCATTAACATGTTTATTCCAACCTATTACAATTTTCTTTTTCTTACGCTTACAATGTGTGTTATTTCTACTAGCTACAGCCGCTCTCTTTAGTACATTTATTATATCATTATACAACTTATCAATGACCTGTCTATGTTGTATAACATTACAAGTCTGATCGGCACAGTTATGGAACTCGGATGGAAACTTAAGAAGTTTGAAATGAGAATGACACTCATTATAATATGAGTCGATTTGTTCTATGCCTCTGTCACCCCACAAAACATTGTTACGTTCACATTTTACTTCTTCTATCTTAGGTGGAACTACGTCTAAATTACACTCAAGAATCAGCGGAAAATGGTCTGACCAGAGTATGTCATATTGTATGTGCACTCTACGTACAGAGGACACAGCCGCTTTCGATACTATACAATGATCTAGCCACCGCTGCGACCCATGAGCTTCACTCACAAACGTAAAACAGTTCGATGAACCCTTCAACATTTCTATATCTATACAAGTCCATTCCTGTTCCTCACAAAATATAGATAATTCCTTAAAGAATGATTCTGTGGGATGAGCATTGAAATCGCCCATAATATAAACACAATCCACATTATTACTGTCTATGATTGCACTTACCGAGCCGAGAATGTCCGTAAATTCCACTAAGTTTGTAGACATATCGGTAGGCATGTAGACACTCATCACTAGGATTGACCGCCCTTTTAACATTATTCTTATCGCACATATGCGGGGATTATCACATGGCACTACTACAACATTGGAAAATACACTGTGCCGCCAGAGGATCGCGACACCACCGTGCGGTCGCCCGCGCAGTATTCCCTCCGTTGTATCGATCGCCGACGTTCCCGTAGATGTAAACTCGCAATCTATGCTGCACAAATATGATAGGTCACTCGGCAATAACCACGTTTCTTGCAGGGCTATGATATCCGATCTTTTACATAATTCCCGTATCCCTTCTACAGAGCGCTTCACATTCTTACAATTGAAGGTAACAAAGTTGTAGATCCCACTATCCATAATTTTGGTGTGTAATGCCGTCAATGGAAATATGTGCGTTTCCAGTCGATTTTTTTAGTTTAAAATTAATAAACCGTCGAAAAATTATCCCTTCTGGCCATATATTCTCATCCAAAAACAACGAGACTTTGTTTTGTGCTACAAAGAATTTGAATGCATTGTAATCACATTGACGCTTAATGGATATTTTCTCTAATGCTACTGTTTCTTGTGTCATCTTACAAATGTATCGAACGATATCTGATTCTGACGTATTTTTATGCACATTAGTAATAAACAGTGGTATTTTTCTCTCAGCAGCTCTAAACATCTCATCTGTTCCGATTACAACTGTCCCTAATTTTCCTTCAATGCGTCTATTTTTTTTTCTTTTCTTCTCGACGATTGTCCATTCATTATTAGACCTTACGGCACCTGCATAAGATTCAACAAGTGTTGTACCTACTTTGCCGACCGTTCGCTGCGTGGACTGCCGGTTACATGTCAACAATGACTCATCGCGTTTCGTATTGTCGGTTACACGGCTATTTTCAGTTTCAAACGTTTGATGGAACGTTGCATCGATAAGTGTATCACTACTACCCTCCGGATAATTTGTGTTTATATTTATATTTCTATAATGTAAATTATTATCCCGTGTAGAAGACATTTCACCACTGGATTCATCTTCATGATTACTTATAGTAGACTCATCCATAACCGATAAAGCTATAGGGCCGCTGTCACGATAAGCACCTCTTTTTATGTTAATCTTAGCGGCAGAGAATGGTGGCGAAACGGTTTTTAAATTATAGCACTCCTTTTTAACTTCTTCTAGCTGCTTAACAGTTGCATACGATGATTTAATTGTTTTAATTTCAGACTGTACTATCAATAGGTCTTTCAGGACTTTAGATACGTCCAAATGATCCCAGGTGATAGGTGGCAGTTTTTCAAGGTCACGAGCAACAAATATAGGCAGCATATCAGGATCAGTGACTTTGAAGAAGCTGAGTATGTCGTACAACAGACGATCTCCCTTTCCTTTTCCTTTACGTGCGATTCTTCGTAACTCTGAAGACACTGATTCAAATAGTAACGTATGTGACTTTTGAACTTGTTCACTTGTAAACGATGATGCACAGATTTTTACTAAGCTTTCTTCATCAGCTATCGATATTTTGTTCTGTATGTAAGACAGAAGCTCATCAATTACAATATTACAGGTAGCACATTTCACAGTACACGACATTTTTGCGGAAGTATTTCGCGTATCAAAAAACACATCTAACGCCCGTGAACACGCGCATGCGACTGCCAATAATATTTTAAAGAATAAAATAAAATTGAAAATGGAATACTAATTCGAGGTGGAAATATGTTTTTCTTATAATACATTCGAAAATAGAATAGCCAATAGACAAACGCGATATCACGGATAGCGTATTCCATTTTTAATTTTATTTCGTTATTGTTTTTTTAATCGATAGCACCAATCCACTCGGTGTTGTATAAAAGGTAAAATAAATTTTTCCAACCTCACCCTTATTTGAATAAAAACATTTTATATCTTGTTTGATGAAACATTTTTTAGATATTTCTAGAAAATGTAAAAAATATACTATTTTTATGTTCTGTCATCCTGTATGGGTTTGAATGTTAGTCCATAAAAAGACGAATATATGTGGTAGGGATGCGAAAGTTAATACAGATGAGTGGAATGACAAGGAATGACAGAATAAGATATTAGTATATACGAGGAAGTGTGTGGTCCCGGCATAGAATGGTCCAACTCTTCATTTCTCACGGGTATGGTAAGAGGCGACTAGAGGAACCTAATAGTCGAGATATGGGCAACAGCGTCCTTCTCAAAGCATCACCAAAGCCTAATTGCTAGGGGGGGAAGGGATTGTTAGTAATGAAGACTGAGAATCCCATTGCTAGCAATATACCCAACCAGGTCGACCTCCTCGCGGTTCTCCCTGGAAACTATCATGGTTAATTCTTGATGAATTCATCATGATGGGCTGACTGGCCTGTTTTCATTCTCATCTATCACCCTTCACTGGTGCTCCGCCAGCGTATCCTGTTAGCGCAGGCGGGGTTACCATATCATTTTCACCCGTAAAAAAAAAGCCTTATTGCGGTTGCCAATCTGTCTGACCATTGTAGCAACTATTGCCAGAACCTTCCAGTCTGCGTGGGAGGCTTATGTTCAGCAGTTGACAACTGTTGAAGATGATGATGTACGGGGAAGTCTAAAAGTTGCACCAGTTACGGAGAAGTTGCGAAGTAATAAACTGTTGTAGTGATTGACCTAGCGATAAGACCACCTTTTGTACGTTTATGCGTATATTTTGATCTGTAACTTATGATACTATATTTCACTTTAATTATTTAATTTTTATTATATATTTTTATGTTTCTGAAGTAATAAATGAATGAATGAATGTGTATACTTTATTTGCATTATACAATATAGGAAATAAAGAAGACAATTTACAAACACAACGATACGATTGTAATTGAGCAATCTTTTCAAGACAATTTTAGGCTAATGGACTAATTGTTATACAAGTAGGTATATTAGTAGAACATTAAGGAAAAATATTACAAGTATTTATTATATATATATATATATATATATATATATATATATATATATATATATATATATATATATATATATATATATATATATATGTGTGTGTGTGTGTGTGGGTGCGTGCGTGCGTGCGTGCGTGCGTGCGTGCGTCCGTGCGTGAGTGCGAGCGTGCGTGAGTGCGTGCGTGCGTGCGTTCGTGTGTACGTGTGTACGTGTGTACGTGTGTGCGCGTGTGTGTGTGTGCGTGTGCGTGTACGTGTGTGTGTGTTGGACTCTTTTTTCCGCGCTTAGCCTCTCATTTAGCATCTCCCGCTGTGCGTGAAGTTTAAAAAGGCTTTATCTATACCAATGTTTGACATCCACCCCCGACTTAACAAATTTTATTTATTAAAATTTCAATAAAAAAATATCAAATATTTTTCTTAACCCTTTATATAATAAAATATAAATTTCATTTAACATATACATTAAGAAAAACTTAGTGGAACTTTTATTGTTGAACTTCAAAGTCGTTATTTCCAACTTAAAAATTGCTTATCAATTTTTCTTGTACACAATTTGTGAGTCTATCTGCTCGAGTTTATCTTACAAACATCAAAGTGAATATTCTGGGAAACAGACGGGTGGATAACAAATATGAACCGCTCAACAGTTCAATGAATACGTATTTGTCATTGATCGTGTAAATTTGAAAAAAATATTTTATTTCCTAGAATCGTACGACAACTGTAGTACATTGCACTACTTATAGGGCAAGCTTTTCCATTTCCAAATGACTTCAAAAAGAAGATTTTCAATTCGGCTGTACTTTTTTTTATTACCTCGTATCTCCGTCAGTTGTAAACCGATTAAAAAAAATATTTTTTTTATTTGAAAGGATATACTTACAAATTCATTATTACCATCATACCAGCCTTTATCTGTTCACTGCTGAACAAAAGCCTCTCCTTAGGGGTGTTTTGCCAGTAGTTGCCACGCTTGGCAAACGGATTGGCAACCGCAGTTAGACTTAAGATATGTTTTAAGAGGGACGCTGCTGGCCATCCCTCGCCCTCCCTTAGTCGATTATAATGACACCCACGGGAAAGGATATGTTTTCTTTCTATGGAGAGGTTTTAAGAGGGACGCTGCTGCTCATCCCTTGTCCTCCTTTAGTCACCTCTTACGACAGCCGCGGGATAGTGAGGGGTGGTCTATTTTATGCCAGGACCACAAACTTACAGATTTCTGTAGTATATATAGTATAAACATTGCAAAGAGCAAGTGCATGCAGGTGGCTCAGGGCCATTCTTTATGGCAGTGTATGGGGGAGGCTTATGTCCAGCAGTGGACGGATGATGGCTGAAACGATGATGATGATACAGTACAACTATATTATTATATTAGTTTAACTATATTAGTTAAGTATATATATCAGAGGGAGACTTTGTACAAAAGTCGATTGCTTGGGTAACTCTGTCACATTCGAGTTTCAACCGTAAAGTTTGCATAGCTATGTTTCGGTTTGAAGGGTGGGATATGGCGTGAATTTACTGGGTACAGAGGAATAACACCTGAGTCCTCAGAAATGGCAACGCATGGGGAGTATCATTTTTTTTTTTTTTTTTTTTACAACACAGGGGGCAAACGAGCATGCGGCTCACCTGATGGTAAGTGACTACCGCCGCCCATGATCACCCACAACACCAGCGGCATTGCAGGTGTGCTGCCGGCCTTTTAAAAAGGAATATACTCTTTTCTTGAAGGTTATGTTGTCGTATCGGTTCGGAAATACTGCTGCTGGAAGTTGATTCCAAAGAATAGTTGTGCGTGGAAGAAAGTGCCTTGAAAAACGCACGGTGGAAGACCGCCACTCGTCCAGATGATTGGGATGAAACTTTAGTTTGTGGCGGGTTGTACGGTGGTGAAAATCAGCAGCAGGTATCAATCCGAACAATTCCTCAGAACACTCCCCATGATAAATTCGGTAGAAGATGCACAGAGACGCAACATCTCTGCGCAGTTTCAATGGGTCAAGTCGGACAGTAAGGCGTTGACTATCGATAATTCGAGCCGCCCGACTTTGAATGCGGTCTAACCGAAGGAGTTGGTACTGTGGCGCTCCTGCCCACAGGTGAGAACAGTATTCCATATGCGGCCTGACTTGGGCTTTATATAATTTCAGGCGGTGTTCTGGCATGAAATATCGTCTCACCCTATTGAGCACTCCTAACTTTTTGGAAGCTATCTTAGCCTTCTCCTCCAGATGACCGCAAAACTGGACGTCGCAAGATATATCAACGCCCAGAATTCCTAGACTTGACTTTTTATCAAGGGAAGTGCCCTGAAAGTGAGGAGATACGACAAACGGCGTCTTTTTTGCGGTAAACGCGCAGACTTGTGTCTTTTTGGGGTTAAATTGGACAAGATTTTGTTCACCCCAGATCGAAACTTGATGGAGTGAAGTTTCGATTTCAGACACAAGTCTATTCCGGCACTCATCGGTATGTGTCCGCGAGATCTTTGCATGACCGGTATATAATGTATCTCCTGTACTGTCGTCCGCATAGCAATGAATATTACTTATCTGTAACATATCATTGATATGCAGAAGAAACAGAGTCGGAGATAGTACACAGCCTTGCGGGACACCAGCATTCAAAGGTTTTAAATCAGAGCATGCACCGTCGACTACGACCTTAATGCTACGTTCCTTGAGAAAACTGGCGACCCAAATGCACAGTCTCGCAGGCAACCCAAATGAAGGTAGCTTTGAAAGCAGCGCTCTATGCCACACCCGATCAAAGGCCTTCGCAATATCCAGACTAACTGCTAAGGCCTCTCCCTTACTCTCGATTGCCACTGCCCATCGGTGTGTTAAGTAAGCCAAAAGATCACCGGCCGAACGTCCCCGTCGAAAGCCATACTGGCGATCACAGATCAGCCGGTGCTCTTCTAGGTACCGGAGCAGTTGACGGTTAATGATGGATTCCATAACCTTCGAGAATAAGGAAGTGATAGCTATGGGCCTATAGTTAGCTGGATCTGAGCGATCTCCCTTTTTAGGGATCGGATGCACCAGAGCAGTCTTCCAAAACTTTGGGACTATGCCCGATGAGTAGCTAAGCCGAAAAAGATGCGTAAGAACCGGAGCCAACTCTGGTGCGCACGTCCTAAGCACAATTGGAGGAATACCATCAGGCCCACTCGACTTATGGATTTCGAGAGAGAAAAGTGCTCTACGCACTGAGCTATGCGTGAATTTAATGTCAGGCATAGAGCTCCTACAACACGTGATGGTCGGTGGTGGTTTCTCCCCGTCATCCAATGTCGAGTTTGACGCAAAGATGGATCCAAGAAGATCGGCCTTTTCTTTAGCGTTCTGGGCCAACGAGTCATCCTCCCTGCGCAAAGGTGGAAAAGATGACTTACAGAAATTCCCTTGTGCAGCTTTGGCAAGAGACCAGAAAGCTCGAGTCCCAGAGGGCAAACTAGCCAGTCTCTTGCCAATTCTACTAATATGCTCTGACTTCGCTGTGGCTAAAACTCTTTTGAAAGACCTAGAGGCAGAGTTATACTTCTTTTTAAGAGCACTGGTGTTAGGATCTCGCGACGCCACACCTTTAGCCCAGGTTAGGAAGCACTCCTGTTTCAGACGAGATGCTGTTCTACAGGAGGCTCCATACCAGGGCTGGGATTTCCCGCCGACGGGCACCACAGAGTTAGGAATAAATAATTCCATTCCCTGAAGCACCACATCAGCAATGGAATCGGCAATGGCGTCGGGATCATCCAGTGTGAAGCAAATCTGCCTCCATGGGTAAGATGCGAAAAAAATCATGGGCGAAACAGTATACTCTGTTATGTCCATGGTACTGCTCATGTCTATAGGCGACGGTTACCACTTTCCATCAGGTGGACCGTCAGCTTGTTTGCCATTCTAAGTTGTATAAAAAAAAGAAATTAAACTAAAATTGTAATAAAAACATAAATACAAATAAAAGTAATTGTTTGTTCATGAACGCTTTGTAATCCAAACGGTGTTGCCCGTCATGGTAGAAGGACGTACCAACACGCTAATGCAATGACGAGTTTCCCCGTCACCAGTCAGCAGCGCTCAGAAAAGACGAATGACTTCGTCACCGACACACACACGCACGCACACACACGCACACACACACAACTCCCAGATTGAATTATAATTATTTATCTCTTCCTATAAATTATATTTATTACATTGAATTCATTTATTATATTCAAAGTACTTAGTAAGTAACCCTGCGGAGTGAGACCCTGGTGAGCTGTAATACAGGTATTCTTATACCTATCTCAGGCACCAATCTCTCACAGTTATATTTATAATTTGATTACTTCAATATAAGCATGTCTCATTGTATCTCACTGTGATGAATTGTGAAGAGAAAATAAATCTATTTATTATATTATTATTAATTAAAATATACCGGTAAGCAAAATATTAAAAGGATTACCTTTCTGAACGCGACCCTGAAGTTCTCCGACAGGAACGCGTACAGCAGCGGGTTCACACAGCTGTTCATGTACGCCAGCACGTGGGACACGATCTGCGCCGTCACCGTGAAGTAGGTGATGTTGTATTTGTCCAACGCCTTCACCAGCAGGATTATCTACAAGCAAAATAGTTCATCAACAATCGAAAATAATTTGATTTCTCTCTTTATTGCACAAAAACTGTATTGCAATATAATGAATGAATAACTGAATATACTTTATTTGCATTATACAATATAGGGGGAAAAACAATTAATAAATGTAACGATACAGTTTTATAAGTATAGTAAGGCGGTCTTATTGCTGAGAGCAATGTTTTCAAGACAACCTTAGGGTAATGGACTAATTATTGTACAAGCAGGTATTGTATAATTAAGAAAATTAACAGAATAAAACATTAAGGAAATAGTACATTACTGCAACGGCCAGCAACTGAGGTATTGATGGACGAACGTGCAAATGTGCACCGAGGCATAGCCGAGGCACACATACGTGAGTTCATCAATGCCTAGTTATGGCCAAGGCTTGTATAGTACTTTTCTCAAACAATGCGCGGAAATCAAAAACACAATTTTACTTTTTAAGTTCAATGACGAATAACGAACAACAATAATTTTTCACGCGCCATAATGTTCCTTTGTTTTTCTTTTAATAAACAGCTTTCTATTTGCAAGCCAGTTCGAATTTTAAATAAAACCTTTTATTAGTTACCTCCTTGGTAGCCATGTTTCGAAGTAAAAGGTCATTCCATTTTTAAATTACAGGACAGATATGAGTTTACATAGTAATTTATCTGGCCGCAAAACACGACAGATATGGATTTTCATACATGTTTATGAAAATAATTATAAGTTTTAAGTATATATAAGTACACATAATAGTCAAATAAAAAAAATTTTAAATTGGATTCTCTTTTCCACGCTTAGCCTTTCATTTGGGCACGTATGAGTCGTGACTAGTACAACCAACCCAGCTTCGGAAGCACAGAAGCTACCTGGAATCTACACAGGCCTCACGGAGCGATCTCACCGTTCCGAGGATTTCTAAGCATACACACTATTCGTTAGTAATTTAAACTTTTTTTTTTACAACACGGGGAAAACGAGCATGCGACGCACCTGATGGTAAGTGACTACCGCCGCCCATGATCACCCACAACACCAGCGGCATTGCAGGTGTGCTGCCGGCTTTTTAAAAAAAATATGCTCTTTTCTTGAAGGTTATGTTGTCGTATCGGTTCGGAAATACTGCTGCTGGAAGTTGATTCCATAGTCGTCGAGGACTGAGAGAATGGTCAGCAGCGTCTCTCTTAAAACATCCCCAAAGCCTAACTGCAGTTGCCAATTTGCAAGTGTCAATTACTGGTAAATTCCCTAAGGTGGGAGCCTATGTTCAGCAGTGGACAGTTAAAGGCTGATATGATGACGATGATAAATTACCATGATGATGAATTTAGAAGTAAATGAAGTAATATAATTAAATAACAGATTCGTCACTGATTTAGTCAATTCTTACAATAGACAAGGTTATGGGATAAGCTCCCTGCCGAGGTTTTCCCAAGAGACTACAGAATGGGGTTCTTCAAAAGGGGGGTAGAGAAGTTTCTTCAGGGTCGACAACGCGCGCGTAATACCTCTGGTATTGCAGGCGTTCTTAGGCTATGGTAACCGCTCATCGTCAGGTGGGCTGTATGCTTGTTTTCCATCTCAGTGGTATAAAAAAAAATTAATCTCTCTGATCGTTAAGACAAGCATCCGTTTTATCTTCGTAACCACTTATTTTATTTTCAGCTGAATTAATTACTCTCCTCCAAACGTTAGTGAAAAATCTAATCTCTCCAAGTTAACGAAGTATAATTAATTATAACAGAAGTGCTAAACGAACCGCTCATAGGGTTAAGGGGGATTAATTATTTAATAAAATGCCCTTCCGGTTACGCCATTATCTTAATTAATTACTCTGGCACTTATCAATGCTTGGCTCTTAGGATTCTTTGCCGAAATGGCGTAAGTGAACCCTTTGTGTCTTTGCACGCCATGGAAGTCAAAATAAAAATATATTTAATTTAAATAAAGATAGATATATACTCTTTATTGTTTCCTCCAAAAGATTACAATAGTAAACTTATTATAGATACAAACAATTACAAGAAACAATCATAATGAGAAAACAATGGGCGACCTTATCGCTAAGAGCGATCTCTTCCAGGCAACCTTTAGATGGAGAGGAGTAAGTAAGCTTATAAAAAAGCTCTTCTAATCATCGTTCTTTGTGATTGCAATGTAGTTTTGGAAAGATTAACGTTTACAGTAATATATTTATATCTCAACAATTACTGATTCAATCGATTTGAAATTATTTTGGATTTTGTTGAACTACTCGCATTGTAAAAGTTATTAATTAACAAAAAAAAAAGAAATCCGCCCTTGTATCTCCAAAGTGAAGAAAAAGATATAAAATAATTATACGTTTTATATAAGTGTGTATTTGGTTATTGCAATAGATTTATTTCGTTGAATTTAAACAAATTTAATTTAAACAATAAAACTAACTAAACTACTAATTAACACACATTCTTGAACTATGTTATTTTCTCTTTCTTTCAACATATCACAGAAATAGATTTTAATAAAAACAAAATATCAAAACAATGGCTTAAATCGTGATTAAAATAATACAAAATAAACAACAATTAAAGATGTTCTTCCTTAAAAAAACCCTCAATTGTGGTTTTTCCAGTTATTTTAATTTAAAAACTGTACTACTAAGCCGATTTTGTTAAAATTTCTACGGGACCAATCTGTAAGTATATCCTTTCAGATAAAAAAAGAATTTTCCAAATCGGTATAAAGCCGACGGAGTTATGAGGTAACAAACATGAAAAATACAACCAAATTGAATAACCTCTTTGAAGTCGTTTAAAAACAGAAATAAAAACTAATGATTGTAAAAAAGAATTATTATCAAAATTAACTTTATGAGGAAAAAGAAATAATTTTACGACTACTTATTGAACCGTTAACTTACTAAGTAACAGACAAACTCACTTTCATACTCATAACATTTTTTTCACGCAACTTAGAAAGGCAAACAAGCTGACGGCCACCTGACGGAAAGTGCTAACCGTCGCCTATATATTCTGGGGGGAAAGGGATTGTTAGTGATGGAGACTGAGAATCCCATTGCTAGCAATATATCCAACCAGGTCGACCTCCTCGCGGTTCCCCCTGGAAACTATCATGGTTAATTCCTGATGAATTCATCATGATGGGCTAACTGGCCTGTTGTCATTCTCATCATCTAACTGCTCATGTCTATAGGCGACGGTTACCACTTTCCATCAGGTGGGGCGTCAGCTTGTTTGCCATTATAAGTAGTATAAAAAAAAAAAACAAAAATGTACATTCTGTATAAATACTCCTTGTTACCACTTTCCATCAGGTGCGCTATCAGCTTGTTTGCCATGCTAAGTTGCATAAAAAAAACATTACACAATTGAAAATAAATATGAATTATTTGGTAATATAATTAATACAATAAAAAATAATCAAAATAATATTATAAGTCATATATATATATATTCAAGTATAATACATTACTAACACAATAGCTTTCTAACATAATTGTATCTAACGTCAAACATTTACAGTTCAGTAAGCACTTACTTGAGTTAAGCCACAATATATTATTAACAAAGGTATGCGGGAGATTACAATAGCCATAATAAAAAAAAATTAACAATAATACATATATTTAATTCATTATCACCAACATCATCATATCTGCCTTTAACTGTTCACTGCTGAACATAAGCCTTTGTATAAAAAAAAAAAAACAGTGGTTTTGGTGACTTCACTATACTTGCCTATAGACAGAACAAGGTTAACTTATCCATAATAGATTAGTCTAGTTAAAACAACATAAATACAAGGTAAATTCGTGATTTTTACCCATACAAATGTAATAAATTGCCATCGCGGTGAACGTAGCAACCAATTTGCCTAATAATAAAATTGAACGTCGAATAATTTTGATAAGCGATCAAGGCACTCTACGAATACACCCAAAATAGGTAAATTCGTTCTTCCAAATATATTTGTTTTATGGAAATTTCAAAGAGCTTTCTAGTAAATTCTATGTAAGGAACAATTCATGGCAACTATTGATAAAACCCCCCAATAGGGGGAGCTTTACGTTTATCAGTGGACAGTTAACGGCTGAGAGGATGAAGATGGCAATTAAGGAACAATTCAATACTTAATGCCTTATTGGATACCTGACGAATATTTAGAAATAGCATTGGGGCTGATTTCGAAATGCAACTTTAAAAATATTTTTATGCTTCTCGGAAAAGCAAACAAGCTGATAGCCCACCTGATAGAAAGTGGTAACCGTCGTCTATAAATATTTGCAGTATCATGGGCATAACAGAGTATACTGTTTCGCCAATGATACCCCCCATGCGTTGCCATTCCTTAGGACTCAGGTGTTATTCCTCTGTACCCTGTAAAACCACGCCATATCCCACCCTTCAAATGGAAACACAACCATACAAACACAACTGCTTTACGGTAAAAACACGAATGGGACAGAGGTGTCCAAGCAAACGACTGTTGTACAAAGTCTACCTCTGGTATGTTTTTCACACAAAACATTTCTGATGTTAAATACAATATTATCGTTCCTGAAATAAATTTATCTTTAAAATTTACGAATATAAACGCCTAATAGTATATCAGAAATATTCCCATCACGCTCTGACATGTTTAGTCTGTAGATATCTCTAAAATTAACTAACTGTACAGAGCGAGAATCTGATTCATACATATGATTGTTTTCCAAATGGAATGTGGGTTGAATTCACATGAAGCTGATAAGGCTTGTGTTTGGGAAAATCTCGTACATTTATAATTAAATAAATATATTTCAGATCACTACATATTGCTTGGGTACCTCTGTCTCATTCGTGTTTCAACCGTGAAGCAGTTGTTTTTGCATGGCTGTGTTTCGATTTGAAGGGTGGGATATGGCGTGAATTTACTGGGTACAGAGGAATAACGCCTGAGTCCTCAGGAATGGCAACATATGGGGGGTATCATGGGCGAAACAGTGTACTCTGTTATGTCCATGGTACTGCTCATGTCTATAGGCGACGTTTACCACTTTACATCAAGTGGGCCGTCAGCTTATTTGCCATTCTAAGTTATATAAAAAAAAATATATAAAACAAAGTTCCCCATCGCGTTGGTCTGTCTGTATATACGCGATGATCTCTAAAACTACTGAACGGATTTATATGCGGTTTTCATTTGTCATTTAGTTAATTTGATTCCTGAGAAACATATGCGTGTACAATTCCTTAAAGTTTTGTGTAAAGTGGTTAAAATATGGCTACGTTTATTGAAGATGTCGGAAAACATCAATTCGTCTGGGAGATTTCATCGAAAACGCTGCCTGATCTGTTTAAAAAATAATAAAACAATGTACGATGGGATTGTTTTTTTTTATATAGGTATACAAAAAACTCCTGGATGGCATATATCTATCGTTTAAGGATAGCTAACTTTATTGATTATTATTGGTATTTCATTTGAAAGGATATATCTTTGCAGATAAAAAAAAATCCAAATCTGTTAATAACTGACAGAATTATGAGAAAAAAAAAAACATAAAAAAAATACAATCGAACTGAGAACCTACTTCTTTTTTAAATGAATTGTAAAATTTCTTAAAATCGGAAAAAGTTTTAAACAGCGGTCTCGGAGATAAGCCTGCACGAACAAGGGATTTTTATATATTATATAAAAACATAATGTTAATTATACCACTGTGAATTATTCCATTAAAAGTTTTCTAGTTTAATAGCATTAGTTTTAACTAATGGTTAACCGTTAATTGAACTTTTCCTTTAATATTTATGATTGCATTATAGTTTGTCAGTTCACGACTGGTCTTCGGTTTCTTGAGAGTTGCCAACCAAAAAAATTTGTTATAATTACTTGTTTGAGGAAAAACTCGTTTAAGAAGACTTGGACAGATATTTAGATCTACAGGGCCGAGAAAGGAAGTGAGTGGAAAGGGGGAAAGGGGCTCGTTACATCGCCAGCTTGCTGATGACAGTTGAAGATAAATAGGAACTTTTTGACAGAAGTTTAAAATATATAACCTTAAAATAAAAAGATCTAGACTCTACTAAGTAACATTTTGTATACCGTTTTGATTTATGGCTACAATTTTGTTTATAGAGACATCATATAAAACCTAACCTATTCTACTTTTCATACAAGAGTACACCATTGTTAAACTCTGACAATTAAATATCTTAATGTTAATAATGGAAGAAATCTCTTTTAGAGATAAGTTCGCCTTTGCTAACATTGTTATTAACTTATTGTTGTTACTGTATGTTTTTGTGCAATAAAGAATATATATATATATATATATATATATATATATATATATAAGTATATTCCATGTGAAGACAGATAAATAATACAATAAATTACTATTTTTAATCTTTAGGGTTTCACAAGAAGCGAATATGGGGCCAAGTTACAATACACAAGTGCAGAAGAAGGATAATTTGAAATAAAACTCTATACCAATCCGCTTGACTTTATGGTAATAGCAGGCAAATATCCTCTTCTTGTAGGAAGAGACTAGCCACCAACAATGGAATGTAAATGAATAGTATAAATATAGTGTAAGTAGAAAAAAACTAAACTTTATCTCCAGTGATATCTATAAATTAGATGATGCCCATGAATAATAAATAGAAGAATAAGCTTGGATACTTCGAATGCCAAACGAGCTGAAGATGGGAATGGTAACCATTGTTTACAGACATGAACAGCACCATGGGCAACATTCTCATGCACTACAATGTTTTTCTGAAATGTTTGTAATGATGGCCACAGTATTTAATCATTACACCGCTTGCTATCGACAAGGAATTCATTCTCACACGCTTGCATCTAAATGGCCATGTAGTGCAGTTTCAAAGAAATTTTTTTCCCGCAAATACTCAGGCTGTGAAATGAGCTCCTTGCCGAGGTATTTCCTAAAGACTACAGTTTGGGGTTTTTCAAAAAGGATATATTAAGGTTTCTTCGGGGTCGGCAATTCGCACTTGGTGCTGCTAATGTTGCAGGCATACCATAGGTTACGGTAACTGTTTACCATCGAACAGCCATATCTCACCACATAAATATTATAATTCATATTTGAAAATTTACCAACCTGTATCGGACACCAGCATACAGCAAAAACGACGACCACAACCACAACCATCCTGGTTACTTTCTTTCTTCCCCTCCTGCTCTCCGCCGATACTCTTCCCCCTGGCGCGCTCTTCCATAGCCTCGTCAGCATACACATATACAGTACGCTGATCAATGCCAGTGGGATCACATAGGATGACAGAAAGAAAGACATTTGGAAACCTAGTCTGCTATATCCCTGCTCCTCCAAAAATACACACGAAGAATGGTTTCTATGGTAATAAGCGTACTCCCTCTCTCCATGGCAAATTCCTACAGGTATCGCCGTCGTCAGAATCACCACCCAAATGCAAGCTATTGCTAGCAATGCATTCTTTTCGGTTCTTATCGACATTGAGGCGATTGGGTGTACCACAGCCATGAACCTGTCTAAAGACATCAGCACTAAAGTGTAAACTGACGCATGAGCTGTTACCACGATGAAGTATTGAACAACCTTACACCACCAATCGCCGAAAGGCCATCTTGGCATTACATAATCTGTAGCTGTGAATGGTACGCAGAATATTACAAATAGGAGATCAGCCACAGCCAGGTTTATTATTAGGAGATTGGTAGTCGATCTCATGCCAGGGTTGGCAGCAACGACCAGAACAACCAGTGCGTTTCCCACCAATCCGACAATGCCGATAAATCCGAAGAATATTGGCACAACCCTAGACACGACCTTCTCGAGTAACTCCCCATTTTCATATTCACTGCTGTAATTGCAACTTCCCAGGCTGACTTCTTCTGTAGTTAAGTTCAGGCATATGTTGTAAAATTCATCTTCTGTCGAATCCATTTCGTTAGTGTTTTAGAGTCTCATTACTTTCTGGAGAGGTGGTACCTGTAACAAAAGAAAATATTGCATTAATGGAATAATGGAACTCAAGCACATGTAGGCTACAATTTCATTTTGTTGTTAGGAAGGCAAACGAGCAGATAGTCCACCTGATGGAAAGCGGCCACCGTCGACCATGAACACCTGCAACACGAGAGGAGTTGCTTGTGTGTTGCCAGCCTTTTAAATGTAACAATTAGTATCTTTGAAGGATATGTTCTATCGGTAAATCTGTAATTTTTTCCTAAAGAGTCATGGGTCTGAGACCATAAAATACTTTCAGTCTTCCATACTAGTATAGCGAATCCAGCTGCCAAATTATTTATTTATTGATTTACTCTTTATTGCGTCACTTAAATAATAATATAAAGATAAATATCACACAATCTTTGGGTAGAGGAGAAAGAAAAAAAATACGGTAGCTATTTGGCGCCAAGAAGTGTAACTGATAAAAAAAACGCTACTTTTAATAAAACGTATGCACACCTTACATCTAATATGGACATTTCAGAATTCTTTTAAGTCATGCAATAATGTACTTTAGTTACATTTTGATGCTGTTCGAATTTTATCGAACTGCAACACTGAGAGCCTTCGTGCGGTGTCGGTTTAGATCGGCTCTGTTCGCCACTTCGTCATACGCTATACGTACCTACATACAGACATTGGTTTTATTGAAATTCAAAATGTAACTGATGACAATGAAATATTATAACAGTTTTATAATTCATTGTTTTGTAATTATTTTATAATTAGTTTTTAATTACTCCTCTCCATCCAAAGGTTGCCTGGAAGAGATCGCTTTTAGCGATAAAGTCGCCCATTATTTTCTCGTTGTGATTATTTCTTGTAATTGTTTGTATCTATAATAAGTTTACTATTGTAATCTTTTGGAGGAAACAATAAAGAGTATCTATCTATCTATACCATCACTTGTAAGTTCCTAAAAAAATTGGTGATCGATAAAAAGAAGAAAATAATTAAACCATGTTTAACAGAAATAAATACGACTTCAGTCGTGCCAAAAGCAGTTATTTTGACTTAAAACCTAAACTGTTGAACAAATATTGATAAAATGTTTACGGGATCAATTTATAAGTACACCTACCTATAGTATAGTACCTTTCAGATAAAAAAAAATTCCAAAAGAAAGAAATATAAAAAAAAAATGCCGTGTGGCTTTCCTCATGCATAATCGAAGCAGCAGCCTTCCACTTAAAACATCACTGAAAGTCTAACTGCGGTTGTCAATCCGATTGCCAAGTAAGAGAGGCCTATGTTCAGCAGTGGACAGTAACGGTTGATATAATGAACATAAAAAAATATTAACAATATTGAGAACCTATTTATTTTCGAAGTCAGTCGATAAGAACGGTTGGAATCCAAAAATAATATCAAATATTCAATTTCTCTCAAATATTTTTTGGAAAAATAATAAAACTAGTAATCTTACACTGCTTTCCTTTTACTGAATCAGTCCATCTATTCTTGGCTCTTCATCAAACCTCGATTTAATACAAGTCTTTCATTTTCGTAAACAACTTTTGTTTACGCACTTGTTATGTATTATATTATTCTTAAAATATGTTGATTCTAAGAACATTTCTCTGTGTCTATTAATAAAACTGCTTTTGTTCGTGAACGATGTGGTTGGATTCCCATTCAACTATCCATGAAAGAAGGTTGTTTGCTTAAGGATATATATTATTCTTTAATATTTATTATTTTGTCGTGTAGCCCCGGCATAGAATAGGCCACCCCTTCCTTCCTGTGGGCGTCTTCACATAGGGGAACCTAATAGTGGAGAGGTTGGTAGCTGCATCTCATTCAAAATATCACCAAAGCTTACCAGAGGGAGATTGTACAAAAGTCGATTGCTTGGGTACCTCTGTCCTATTCGTGTTTCTACCGTGAAGCAGTTGTTTACATGGCTGTGTTATGAATAATGGGATATGGCAGTGAATTTACAGGGTGCAGAGGAATAACACCTGAGTCCTCAGGAATAGCAACGCATGGGGAGGTATCATGGGCGAAACAGTATACTCTGATATGTCCATGGTACTGCTCATGTCTATAGACGTAGGTTACAACTTAAGGTTCACGAATTGATCCCGGAACTAGTCGAGCTTTCTCGATCTAATTACACGTATTTAAAATCTAAAGAATATACTTAATAATACTGCTCATAAAACATTTATATGTGGAATGTTATCTTGAAAAGTACTTCAAATAAGCTCATTTACTATTGAAAGGTTTGGAATGTTTTTATAGGTCCTACAGAAAAGCCGTCCGTGTTGGACATGTGATAAATTGAAACGTGCCACAATAGAATATTTATGTGTTGCCACTCTTGCTAAATTTACATTATTAAATTTTTTTGTTTTTGGAAAAATCTTATATTTTCTATATTTATTTATTTAACATTTTACTATTTTATTTGACAACTTATGAGGGGTATCATAGGCGAAAGAGTATACTCTGTTATATCCATGGTACTGTTCGTGTCTATAGGCGACGGTTACCACTTTCCATCAGATGGACCGTCAGCTTGTTTGCCATTCTAAGTTGTATAATTCAATTAGGTCAATTAGCCCTTTGTGACGAATTTAGCAAGACTTAATCATAATGGTTTCCAGGGAAACCGCGTGGAGGTCAACCTGATAGGGTATATTGGTAGCAATAGGGTCATTATACCCCATTACTAATAATCCCTTTGCCCCCAGTATACACGTAATAGATGAAGAAGGACATAGGTTACTTGTCATTCCGTTTAGTCAGGAAATATAAGCCACTCGTGCAAAACGAAGTCGCAGGTATGAGCTAAGAAACTAGTAAACCTCCTGGGCTTAATATGGCTAGATAGAAAATACACATAGCGACTAGGCCCATACTCAAAAACTATGTGCCGATTTTGTCACCATGAGGTAGAAACGCCGCAGCACATAATTTGTGGCTACAGCCCACTCATGCACAAACGATATATTTCCTTTGGAATATACACTTTATATATCTCAGGATGAGAAGATAAAAGACATAGTTGCTAAAAACGTTTTGAATTTCCCATCACTGACAGGAATTTGGAGCGAACTTTGTAAAGGGCCAGCACAATAAACCATAGGGGTCGCAGTGTTATTTTTTCTGTCTGAAAAAGCTCATTTCTCAATAAATATAATAAGAAAATAAATAATCTTTGTTATTCAGTTACAATTTTTTTTTATACTACAAGTATTATGGTCGAAAACAAGCATAAGGGCCGTCTGATGGTAAACGGGGTTACCGTAGACTATGGACGCCTATAACACCAGTGATGTCATTAACGCATTTCCGAATTAAAAGTAAAAGATCATATCTTTGAACCAGATAAGATTTGATCATCAAGAGTTCTACTTTTACCTTTGTTGATCTATTCTATAAAATAAAAATATAAAAAGAGGATGGTTGTTTTTTGGGTCAAAAAAACACACCGTGAGACCCTTGAAACACGTGTGTGTGTGTGTGTGTGTGTGTGTGTGTGTGTGTGTGTGTGTGTGTGTGTGCGTGCGTGCGTGCGTGCGTGCGTGTGTGCGTGCGTGCGTGCGTGCGTGCGTGCGTTCGTGCGTGCGTTCGTGCGCGTGTATATATTTATTTATTTACACTTTATTGCACCAAGTAAAAAGAGAAATAACAAATACAGTAAATATTAATGAGAAGTGATACAAAAGGCGGCCTTATCGCTAAGCAATCTCTTCCAGACAACCTTTGGGTAGAGGACATTGAGAAAAAGACAAAGAATAGGTAAGTATAGCTTTATATAAGAGAAAAAAGTTTTAAATCGTTAAAGTAGTTTTTTAATTTATCCATTATAAATTACAGATATTGGAATTATTCTCGTAACAGTTGGTAATCGTTTATTAGGTAACACCCCATCTTATAAAGGGCCCCAACACGTTCCAACATAATGTTTCCTGTACCACCCATTCCTACCTCGGACCCGTCGTCAATCCAAGCTTGTTCTCCCATTCGCATTACTTAATTCAAAGTAATATTAGGTGTATCCTCAATCTTAACCGACATCTCGCCTCACAGTATACTCATACATTATTAATATTGTTATAAACAGGGCCGAACTAACCATGCCAGGGCCCCTAGGTAATGCACGCTTTGTTCAAATAAATTTTAATAAAAAAATATTTAATAAAAAGTAGTTCTTTTTAGTAAAATTTTGTGGTATAATATTATTCTACATACCACACCATACTATATCAGCCGTTATCTGTCCACTGTTGAACATAGACCTTTCCCTACTGAGGAATTTGCTAGTAATTGTCACGCTTGGCAGACGGGTTGGAACCCCGAAATTAGGCTATTGTAATATTTTAAATATTTAAGAGGGACGCCGCACCCATATCTCGATTATTCTACATAACTACTTAAAATTCGCTAAGAAATATACTCAAATATAATTATAAAATACAAATAAAAAAAGGCTTTTATACAAATTGAAAAAAAAAAATCATTGTTCGTTTGATAGATACAAATATATGTCTTCAAATATATGTTTTCAAATGAAACAGTTTATTATTTACCAAATAAATGAAAGAAATCAAAATAAGAAACTTTCACGAAAAACTTTTTTGTCAGGGCGCAGGGTCCTTAGCCTATGAGGGGCCCCTAGGCAGTCCCCTACACTACCTAGTGATTAATCCGGCCCTGGTTATAAACACCAGTGTATATAAATATATCTTATTTACTATTACCATAGACAATCTCATATATTGCTAGGTTATTAGATACAGATCTGGATAAATATTTCCATAATAAACATAGAATTATTTACCTATACATTTGGTTCATTATTCAGCCTAGAAATTGGAATTCCTAAGATCACATTTAATATTGTAGGGAGTCGTAATTATCATTTCAGCCATTATTCGTCCACTGCTGGACATACCTACCAGTGGGAGATATTGTACAAAAGTCGTTTGCTTGGGTACCTCTGTCCCATTCGTGTTTCAACCGTAAAGCAG